CCATATAAGAATAAAAAAGTTGGTTTTAAAGTAATCAGATTAACAAACATTCTAATTTAATAAAAATAAGTGGAATAAATTAATTTTAACTATTTAAATCTTTTTAAATTTAATAAAAAAAAAATGTTAGTGATCTAATTAAAAAAAAAAAAATGAATAAATATTTAATAAATGAATAAATTTGGTTAATATTTTTAGATAACAAAATACATTTTTAATACATTTAAATTTGTAATATTTTTACAAATGTAATTTAATAAAATTACATATAATATTTAATAAATATATAGTTAATATGAATAAATCTAATATTTTAATCATTAAAATAAATGGAAAAAAAAAACTATTTAAAAAATATATAATAATCATCTTACAGGAAAAACAGAGAAATCAGGAACAGCCAGCAGAGCCAAGAGGGGGGAAACCGCACCATGCTTAATGACTTTATCTCTGTATGCAGAGCCGTCACCTACAAAGACAAAAGAGCAAAAATAAATTCAAGCAACCAAGTTAACGGAAATCAATACATCTCACTGAAAAGAAACACTATTGGTCACCCACCAGCAATGTTTCCGAGGGCCCAGACTGCCTGCTCACTAATATGAGCGTGCGGTGAAGAGATGAGGCTGATGAATGCTGGAACAGCCCCTCCCTGAACCACAGCGCTGGTCTGGTCAGATGTTCCAGATGCAATGTTAGTCAGAGCCCAGGCTGCCTCAAACTGTATGGGAGGACATTCTACCAAGCTCAGGAAGCTCACGAACTTGGGAATCAGACCAGCGCTGATGATACGGTCAATAGGGGGATTCTTCTCTCTTGACAGCAACTTCCTGTATTTCAATTGGACAAATCATAGTACGTAAAACACTGGACATTAATGCATATTTCTTTGCATGCAAATGCTAACTTTTAAGCATTACCTGGCAGCTTGGGTGGCCTGGACCTGAGTCTCCAAGTTATTACTGCTCACACCATTTACAATCTCCTCCACCGTCCAGTGTTGAGCCTGATTAAACACAATACATATCGATGACGTGTAATACCTCAATATCATGTGTATATTGATCAATAACGAACGATTATGTTTTGAATCGTGCATTAATATGGATCATCTACACACCTGACAGTTCTGGCTTTTCTCTTGAAGAGGAGAGGTGGCCTCGTCCGGTAGACTGCTCACGTTTCTCCTTTTCAAAATCTGCTCGTCTTTCTTTGCTCTACGAAGTTCAACATTGACTTCGATCCTTCGACGTCTCAGCTCCTACATTAAAGTATTTAACATCTGTATGAACTGAACTGGGGCGTATTTGAAAGAAAACAATCGATATCAGCACTTTTTACTGTATCGTTTTGCAAAACTGCTTACAGTGACATCTTTTCCTTTGTTTTTGAACTGAGTGAGTCGTGGACTGTTCTCATTAGCAGCAGACATTTTAAGGACGTTTGATTAATCACAGTATATCGCAACCTGAAATAAAGAAACACGTTCGTGTTCGAATATCAACATAAGTTGTATCACACACAGTTCAGAAAGTAGAAATGCATACTTGCGAATATAAAAACGAAATTATAAGTCGACTGAAAAAGAGGAACTTACCGCTTTCTAACCAAAGGACTGTGGCGCTGGACGTACGAAACAGACATTTAAACTCGCGCTACGAAGAATCTCATTGGTCCGTTCGAGCAAAAGCATTTTCCTATTGGTCCGTTTTGAAAAATCACACTGCTGGCGTGGGGACCAGGGACGTAGTTTACGTATTAACGCGAGATCTGGCGAGAATGCCAAACAAGATTTCTGGGAATGAACTTCAATATTTTATCCTTTAAAAAGAAATGACCTTCAAATTAACATATAAACATGTTCACTTATATCTAAATTTGTGTATTTAGATTATTCATAAATATATATTAATATCTGACCTTTTTGTTATTGACATCTGATCGTTTTATTAATTTGATCATCTGAATTAATGGTCTCTATAAATATAACAGCTGTTTATAAAAACCTGATTATTTAAAATATTTTCAGTTAAATCTGGAGAAGTGGTTTCAAATAGTTGTTTTCTATTTATTATTTACTTACCTGCAATCATTTAAACAATAGTATTGCAGTACTGCATTGTTTGTATAAATATAAAGGCTATTAAAGGATGTGCTATTTTGATTATTAAATATACCGTTCTGTTAAAATAAATCGGTAGAAAGCACTTTGGTTAAAAGGAATGCACGTGTGATAAGGGGGCGGGGCCTAACAGCTCTAAGTTTAATTCTGATTGGTCAGCGGCGACGACGCTTGGCTTTTTCATATTTTAAAAACCATAGTGGAAGAATGGACTGAAGAGAAAGACTTTGCCACCACGTGTTACAGTATACACAACGCATATATCCATTGTATGCTGAAAAAAGTAACATTTTACATTAACAATAAAACATTAACAGTAACATATATCGTGTCTCCCACTCAAAAAAAGGATTTAGTATTTCTGTAAATCAAACAATCCTTTTATGGCGTAATTATCATATTTATAATAGGAAATTATTTGTTTGACAGTGAAAACAACTCAGTAACTGGCTAATTCATTAATTAATTAGACTACCATTTGAAGATCCTAAGTGTATATGTAGGCTTGAAACAAATGATCCCAAGTATACAAACAAATAAGAGTAATAAAAAGTCTTTATAGAAGTGTAATTCTATTAAGATCAGAGATAGGAACAAAACATGATTATTGCCATACAAATTCTGTAAGATGGGAAAAGTGCACTTAAAAATATAACACAAAAAAGTTTACTGTCATTAGTATATCCTTAACTATAAACATGAGAAAATATGTGTGGTTTATTTTGTGCCTTTTAACACAATTTTCTAGACAAAACAGAATCGTGTTAGATCATTTATGTATCTTTAAATACACCATCTTTTAAAGAAATCCAATATGAACTGCCAGATTGTACAGGGGTCTATTAATTTCAAATGAAAAGAATATAGACATCTTAATCAATGTAGAAGAGAGAATCCTGTCCCCTCCATTTATTTGTTTCATATACATCAATATTTCTTCAGTTGTAATACAAAAAAAAAAAAAAAGACAAGTTATACAAACAGGATACTTTCTTGACTAGCACTTTCATCAGTCCTCGATGCATTTTTAGAGCAACGCTTCTTAGTTTAGGTAACTTGATCTACCCCACTGCTTAAAAACCAATTAGCAGATTGCGTCCACATTCCACTTCTGAAGTAGTACGATGAATCATATGAAGGGGGGGAAAAAACAAAAACAAAACAAAATGGGTGCACCATGATAGACTCCTGCTTTCCTGGAAAATGCGAACATGATTCCGGAGGGTTTTAAAAACTCACAAAAACATTTCTGTAGGCATTTAATCCATAAAGAAATCCAATAGGAGAGCATCCCAGTCTAAACTCATTGCTTTAACAATCAAAAATGTAAACCGTCCATTCTTGATCCGAACCCACAGCTTTTACGTCCGATATTCCACCAAACGCTGTGGCTATGTGCGGTGCTGGCCGACTGGGATAGAGCTCCATCTTGAATTAAATGTTCAAAGTTTATTTAGAACAGCATGTGGTTGTATTCTATGAAGCTGATGACTGTAGTTTGTTGTTATGAGACCTAGAGAATACAGAGAGAATGAGGTTAAAAGCCCTTTGGTTTTATTGAACATCCACAAATGGAAAATGAAATCTACAGCACATAGAAAAATAGCCTCAGGGGTTAAAGGAATGGAAGCCATGTTAACATAATACAACGGGAATGCCTTCAGTCATTTAAATTGGTGCTGGTTTCAATCTAAATTTGGAAGAAATGAAAAACAAAACAAAAAAACATACCATTTAAACATTTTTTAAAGCATGGTCCTTTATTTCAACATGGTAATCCTAATAAAAGGATTTAAAACTCTTTATTTTGCTTCATATTCAAGCCAACCGAAACTGCGTAGATTCTGCGCAAGTTATAAAGTTGCACAAACTATCAGCAATTCATGAGTCCTCTCAATGAAAACCTGGACAGAGCAGCGAACCAGCTGAAACTAACACGTTGTGAAGCACATTACAATAAAACTGAACAGAAAAAGTCTTAAAATGTATTTAATCAGCCAATCCACATGATAAATATGATCATGCATCCATGTAAACATCATAAATAACATCATGTGATCAGCAAACGTAATGGGGGACAAAAAAAAAAAAAACAGGATCATAAATGCACAGACATAGTACTTTCAACATGGCTGCCGCTCTCTGATTGTCAAAGGCTTCACTGGAGTTTTGGCTTTTATTGACAGGTTCTCATTTCTCTTAAATGTACATCAGTTTCCGCTGTTAATAAAACAGCAAGTTCCATGATTCTCTAATACAGAATGACTCCGCCCCTTCAGCCACTATGACTTATGACAATCTGCAAGAAAGGATAATGGAATGTATGAATGACATGCATGAAGCACAAACACAAACACTTATGTTATCAGCATACAGTCAATGAAATAAGACAGGAATAAGAGGATGAAAAGCCAGCCAGAGAAATCTGAGGTTAGATAACCACTATACTGCCTCTTGAGTTAAAAAAAATATATTCAAAGCAGAAACATTCATAGTATGAAAACAAAGTACATGAAGACAAGCAGACACTAAACAAAATGGGATGTATGTAAGCCAATGCAACGGAAAAGACTAATGAAAATTGTGAAATCAACATGAGAGCAAACTATACAGTACAATGCAGCTACAAATTTAGTACGAAAAAACTAATACTATGGCTTAAAAAAACCTTACCTGTGGTAAAACCACTGTAACAGCCTTTTATATAAACAGATAATCGGTTTGACCGATTTTTAAATCGATATTTACGATTTTCAAACTACCTGGTTAACAGTACTTTTGATAGATGACAAAAACATATTTAATGAATTTTCTGGATAATTACTCTAAATACTAGGGGTACAATGGTTCTCGGTAAAAAAATCTAACCGTACGGTTCTCCACAAGCGGTTCGGCATACACTAGGACCGCGGTTTAACTTAAATCTGACAATGCATCTGTAATATGGTTTGTTAAGAGTTCGGCTAATGCATGTTTCTGTTGATGGATACAAGTTCTGGCTTCCCAATACATTACAACAAGAGCGATGAGAGAGAAAAAAAAACAATACTTGGACAAACCAGTCATTTTTTAATCTATGCGGGTGCTTTATGCTGGAATAACTGTCATTTATGCCGTCATCACGTGCTGATAGCGCAGGTGAGACCTGAACAGCACACGTTGCTATCTGTGTTTAAACTAAACTCATTTAAGCCTTGCCAGTTTAAATATTAAAGAGCCAGAAGACGTGAACTCGCGCGCGCAGTGAGAAGATCTGTGTGGTCGCTCATCCGAAGCGTACCGAACCCGTGACTCTAAAACCGCGATACAAACCGAACCGTGAGTAAGTTGAACCGTTGCACCCCTACTAAATACGTAGCTTAAAAAAAAACAAAAAAAATGAATATTTTTAAATCATTTAAATTAGTTTTACAAGACAAGCATTCATCTGTATCGGTTTTAGTCTTTCTTAAAGTGATGTTGGTTGGTGAGTAAATGACAGAATTTAAACTAATCTTTAAATATCCTAAAAACCATCCTATGCTGCTACATTGTATGCATGGGAGCAGATGTTACCTGCTTGCTTTGAAAGCTTTGAGTTTCTGTACAAAGAAAGACTCCAGGAACTCAGCACACTGGTAAAAAGGCGAGTCGCTGGGATTGTAGTAGCGGCAGTTGTCGAAGATTTTGGTCATGTCCGCTACGAACTCTGTGAGTTTGCTGTAAAAGCGATTCTGTAACCTCTCCTCCATTGTAGAAAGGTCTGCAGATAACAGAAAATAATGGAAATCACTACTAAAACAGAGATAAAATGCTAATTCTTTTTCAGCATTACTTATAATTAACTCAATGATATAATATAATATAATACAATGATATTTTAATAACTAGTGGTCGACCGATATATCGCCAAGGCTGATACATCGGACGATATTTGGCATTTTTCAAATATCGGCATCGGCCGATAAGTTTTTCTGTTTGGCCGATGTGTTCGAGGCGGGACTTATATTTTGACGGCACACAGTTCTCACATTCTCCCTCTTGCTTACTGTCGTTGTTAACAGTTCTGTCTAATACGGATAGAAGTTTGTCATTTAAACAAATCTTTGAATGACTAATGAACATTTAATTTAAAAAACCTTGCAAACTTAGTCGAATCTAGTTGTGAGATCTTGTGAAGTGTGCATGTGACCTGCATGATCGCGTGTTCTCTGCGTGACGGTCGGTCCGTGTGAATTGAATGCTTTAAACTTTAAACTCGTGATTTCAAATTATGCTGCGCTTTATGCATTTGCCCACTATCATATTCATGTCATTTTCACTGTGTGCTGTATGTAAAATGAGTGTTACCTTGGCTTTATTTGAAAAATATGATTCCCAATGCACACAAACTTCCCAGAATACTGAGTGCCCTGTTGGTTTAAAGTGTTTACTTACTTTTTAATTATATTTTTATTAAATATTTACTTGTTTGTGAAAAATACTTTGTCATCTAAAGTATAAGTATGTTTATTTTACACATTTATTTTTTAATCCATTGTCAAATTTCTTAAATATTAATTAAAATTAAAAACAAATTATATCGGCTTTATATCGCCCCCCTGCTTTCCAAGATATCGGCATCGGCTGTCAAAAAACCAATATCGGTCGACCACTAATCTGTTTGTCTGTCTGTCTGTCTGTCATCTAAAAACATTCAAGCTTTAAGCTTTACTTTAAACTACAAACTATTTCAGACTGAAAACCGTCAGACTTTTTAAACTTTAAAACTTTTTCAAACTTTCTGGTCAGGCTTTCTCAAGCCAACTTATAGTTTGTCTTGACAAACTTTTTAATCTATGATATAATATAATATAATACAATGATATTTTAATAACTAGTGGTCGACCGATATATCGCCAAGGCTGATACATCGGACGATATTTGGCATTTTTCAAATATCGGCATCGGCCGATAAGTTTTTCTGTTTGGCCGATGTGTTCGAGGCGGGACTTATATTTTGACGGCACACAGTTCTCACATTCTCCCTCTTGCTTACTGTCGTTGTTAACAGTTCTGTCTAATACGGATAGAAGTTTGTCTAAAAATCAGATAGAACTGTTAAACAAAGGAATTAATGTATACAAAAAGTATTATAACAATTGCTTTTATATTATTAGTAATAGAAAGGCAAACATTATAATAGAACTACCTTAATAAAACTTTAACAGAAATGTACATATAACCAAACAGTCATAGTCACGGACTCTGGTCATTCAAAAGAGGCAAACAAAAACTCCTACCCATCGGTTCCTTGATGATCCCATAATAATCTGGAGCATCATTCGGATCCACTGGCTCCAGGAATGGCCACGCCATCTTATGGGACTAACATATAGAAAACATATACAATGATTATGAGATTCACACGATTTCAGTTCCTATTGGCTTCCATTATATTTTTTGACCATACAATAAAAGGCAATGGGAACTGAAACAGTTTGGTTACCCACATTCTTCAAAATATCGTCTTTTATGTTCCACAGAAGAAAGAAACTCAGTGTCTTTGAACAACATGAGGGCGAGTAAATGATGACAGATTTTTCCTTTTTGGTTGAACTATAATTTAAACATCGTGCAGTGCCATACAAGTGTTTTCTGTAAAGCAGCTAATGGTGAAGTTTATTCAAACCAGACAATCGCTTGCTTTTGTTATGATTATAACTAAACCAATTTAAGAGTTAAAATCAATGAAACACTTCTGCATTGTGTCCCATTCCAAACTAAACCCCAGCTCTAAAATTCCAAACAGCCAAGACACCATACGAACCTGTAAGGAGCGCAGGATCCGCTTCAGCCCCTCGTAGTCTTTATCTGTGAGTGGCGTCAGGACCGTCATGGCATCCTCTGTAGACTGGCACTGCGGGCACACATATTCGTCGATATGTGTGGCTTCGCTCTGTAGGATGCCCACGCAGCGCCCGTGGTACCAGTTCTGACAGCGATCGCAACCGATGTAGAACCTGAAGAAGCAGCAGGCACGAACATATCAGAAAACATGCTTCTACATGCAGCTTATGAAACAGATGTGATGAAACTGCAGGTGTGTGGTTACTGGGACTCGTCGTATGGAGTTCTGCAGATGCAGTAGAGCTCCTCTGTGCTTCCCTCCTGAGCTCGTTTACATTCTGAACAGATGTAGTCGTCCATCTTCTTGGCCTCTTTCTCGGTGATGCCCACACACTCTCCATGATACCAGTTAGAGCAGAGGTCACAACCAATGTAGAACCTGCATCAACAGCGTACCAACATTAGATTCATCTCACATCCAACTGATTTTCATATATATAATGTCTTTCATGAAAAACCATATTCATATTTTTACAGCTCCAGTAGCATGATTGACGTTTAACAGTTTTTCACTGTATTCGAACAAGTCTTGTACCAATTGGAAATTATTTTCAAAATTATTTAAAAAAAAAAAAAACACAGAAAAAATATTTCTACCACAACAATTTTTTTCCTAATCCAAACACAAAAGTATAAAATATCCACAAAATATAAACATTTTTCACACCAGACTTATTCATAAAGTCTGATGCCAAACTTTTTTTTTCTGAAAAAGCTGGGATGCAAAAAATAGTTTTATATTATATTTTGAGTTTTTCGGCAAAAATAGGTTTATTGTATCCTTTTAAAAATTTTAGTTTATGTGCATGTTTTAATGCCAAAACACTCAGAATATTAAAATATAATAACATGTTTAAATTAAATTTTGTGTTGTAAATCTCTCTCTTTATTTTCGTCTAGGTGTATGTTTATATTTTTTATGCCAAAATACTTATTTTCTTTAATAATTTAGTAATAATAATAGTAAGTAATAACTAAATCTAAATGCAAACAGATAAAAAAAAAACACCTGATCAAATAGGTATATTTAAAATCTTAATGTATGTTTATATTTATATTTTTCACTAACAGATTAAACACACACACACACACACAACTGACAAATAGGTATATTGTCTCCTTTTAAAATCTTATTATATGTTTATATTTTCAAGCCAAAAATGTTAACTTCTAGTGTAAATATTCAAAATGAAGTGATAAACAAAACAGAGAAAAGGAATTCCTAACAGGAAAAAAACAAAAAAAACAACTAAAATTGCAGGACAGTAAAGTTGTCATACTTGGACTCATCGTAGGGCGTCTTGCAGATGCAGTATAGCTTGATGTCCCTCTTGCTGTCCTTTGAGGTAGTGGAGATCATCTTTTTGCGTTTGAACTTGGAGGCGTCTCTCTCCTCGTCCCGCTTGCGTTTGTGCGCGGAGGAGGGGGACGTGACCGTGGCTGTGTGCGAGGAGACGTGTGCGCTGGCGGCCGCAGCAGCTTGTGCAGCCGCAGCCTGAGCTTTCTCCTTCTCCCGCCGCAGTTTAATGAGATCGCGCTTCAGCTCCTCCTGCAATGAAAGACAACATGACAATGACTCGACATGCGCAATGTAGCTTCAGCTGTCTCTTTGGCAAGTCTGATGTGGTGTTAATAGAGTGTGTGTGAGTAAAGCTGAGATGTGGGCATGCAATGAAAGCATTCGTCTCTATTGCCAAATTCCCAGAGATCGTCATAAACGAGGAAAAATGGTCATTAATTAGTGTATGTGAACACACTACCTATCAAAAGTTTGCAGTCGAAAGATTTTTTTCATGTTTTCAAAGGAAGTCTATCATACTCACCTGGTAATAACAGTATTATTCTGAAATATTATTTCAATTTAAAATAATGATACGCTTTAAAATGTAATTTATTCCTGTGATGCAAAGCTGCATTTGCAGCATCATTACTCCAGTCTTCAGTGTCACATGATCCTTCAGAAATCACTTTAATATGCTGATTTGCTGCTCAAGAAACATTGAATATTAATTGTATGTATTATTTATTAATCTGTTAATTAATAAAAACTTCCTGCACTTCCTGTTCCTCTCACCTGCACTTGCAGCTGTAGTTCTTTATCAAGCAGAGCTCTTTTCTTCAGGATATCAGCCTTGAGCTGCTCTTTGTGTTTGAAGAGCAGAGCTGACAGCTTGCTGGCGTTCTGCTTGCTGCGCTTTTGCTCCACAGACTCCTCCCGTTTCCTCTTTTTGGCCGCCTGCCTCTCGTCCTTATCGATTTTATCCAGGATGAACTTCATCACCTGGTTACAGACAATCATCCTGCCCGGACAGACAAAACACACTGGATTAGGCTGATTAAAGTCAGTCGATTCTTAAATGAGACTCCCATAAATACAGCTTCAGTGGATTATCTGGGGTGCACACGTTACAAATATAACGAGCCTAAATAATGCTTCATGTTAGCTGGAATTTAAAATCACTGAAAAAGTCACTTGGAAAGTAGGAAAAAGGGCGATCGATAACATATAGAAAGTGTTTACCTCTGGTTCTCCTCTCTCTCAGCAGGAGTCATGGTTTTCTTCTGTTTTAACTGCTCTATGGCCACATTCTGCTTCTGAGCCACCTAAGCGAAAAACAAAAAGAAGCGTTTAATAAATGTTAACTCAAAAGTTTCAAAACAACATGAAGCACCATCGGTCAAGATTGTAACTACTGTAATGTCACGTTTCCTAGTAAATGCATACATTTAGTGGGAAATCAAGCAGGACAGGACTTGCACTTCTAAATCCATTAGGATTTGTACGGATAGTAATCATGCATCTCAGATACTTTAACTGGTTTGCAGCTGAATAAGTGAGGCACACATTTAACGGCAAAACAGGGTAACTACTAATTCAAAATACCTAAATATCTTTTATTAAATACACACACGTATTGAAATTGGGTTATGTACTAACATATCAATACATATGAAATAAAGGTTGATCAAAATTGGATTTATTATTGACAATACAATAATGTGTTTCAAGAGTCTGAAAAGTGCAGCACTCGCATTTATTTAAATCATCACCTCCTGCAGTTTAATGATCATATTTGGCCATATCGCAATCCCGTTAAATAAACAATAAAGACTTTTGTTCCATTTGTTACCATTTAAAATATTTAAAACTTTTTATGACCTTAAATTGATCAAACTGAATATATATATATATATATATATATATATAAAGCATTAAGGACTCACAGGAACTCATATTCCCCCCCCTGCAGTTCATTAGCAGAGATATCATTTTTAATAAAGACTTTTTCCATTAGAATAATGTGCACTCATGAATTGTAACAATAAAATCTTTATATGTTCAATCTTTTTTTATTTGCATTTATTCATATTTATCCATTGTGTATCATAATATTAATTAATTTATCTATTATATGAAACCATAATATAAATTGTAATTTTAAAAATATTGTATAATGAAAATATAGTAATTTATTATTATTAATTCTTTGTAGGTACTGTATTTTCATATTGAATATATATAAGAAAATATTTTTTTAATTACAATACATTTTTAAAGAATTTGAATTAAACCTTTCATTCCATCCAAGAAGCATTGGAATAAAATTAACATAATTAATTAACAAATTAACATAGCCTTACATTTTAATAATTAAATGTTTCAATTAACTACGGCTCATTGCAGTGTATCAATTCACGCATGCTTAATCAACTAATGAGTAATGCCTCTAAACGTAGTGACAGATAACAAAAAATATCAGATGAACTAGGGATGCACGATTAACCGAAATTAAATCGCAAAGGCGATAAATCGCGATTTGGCAGAAGCTGCGATTATCATGCGTATCTCCCAGTGAAGCACGCTTCTGTGATCAGCAGTAAATCTCCATCCGAAGGCCAGAGGGCGCTCTCGCGCTAAAACTCCAAATGAATTGTCTGCGATTATGAACGCGATTTTGCGTAGCTTGTCGGTGAACTGTGTAGTAAACGCTGCTCCATCTGAAAGCACGTGCTGGATATTTACTACTAATCACAGAACCGGCTTTACTGACAAGATATGCATGACAATCGCATTCGATTAATCGTGCAGCCCTAAGCTGAACTCATTCTTAAAATTTGGTTGCAAAGCCTATAAATTTCAGATCAAAATCATCTTGAAAAGAGCGATTCTTAACACGCTCAATCATGACTAATCGTATGTTGCTGCTGTGTGAATGTAGCCTAAAGGTTTACATAATATCCCATGTTTCTTAAAGTCAAATCATTCTGGAGTCACATACTTGGGTCCTGACCTGTTTCTGTATCAGCTCGCTCTGGCTGACGTGCTGCTGGGCCTGCTCTCTCTTAGCCTCCTGCTGTTTCTTCTTCTGCTGCTGCTGCTGTTCGCAGAGCTGCTGGATGCGCTGGAGCTGCTCCTGTACGCTGGCCGTCTGGATGGTCACCAGATTCTGGATCTGGTGTGCAGCCCTAAGCTGAACTCATTCTTAAAATTTGGTTGCAAAGCCTATAAATTTCAGATCAAAATCATCTTGAAAAGAGCGATTCTTAACACGCTCAATCATGACTAATCGTATGTTGCTGCTGTGTGAATGTAGCCTAAAGGTTTACATAATATCCCATGTTTCTTAAAGTCAAATCATTCTGGAGTCACATACTTGGGTCCTGACCTGTTTCTGTATCAGCTCGCTCTGGCTGACGTGCTGCTGGGCCTGCTCTCTCTTAGCCTCCTGCTGTTTCTTCTTCTGCTGCTGCTGCTGTTCGCAGAGCTGCTGGATGCGCTGGAGCTGCTCCTGTACGCTGGCCGTCTGGATGGTCACCAGATTCTGGATCTGGTGCGCTTGGTCTTGCCCTCCGCCCTGCTGCTGGATCTGAATGGGCAGTTGCAGTTTGATCTGCTGGGGCATCCCGGCTGTGGTCCCGACCTGCTGGACTTGAGCCTGAATCTGGGCCACTACCTGACTCTGGATGTGGGAGATGACCTTCTGAATTATTTGTAATATATAATTTATTCACGGTATTTAGAAGTGCCCACGATAACAATATCGTGCATATTCATTACCGTGATATATCGCATTACCGAATACCGGCACAAGTCTACTAAAGTGATGTAATCAGTTGAGAAAGATCAGAACATTAGATGTGTCTTAGGTTTTAAAGTGGCAGTAGCATAATATGCATGTTAATCAAGTATTTCATATTAAGCATACATGCATTAATTCAATACATTTACAATTAATTTATAATAAATTATTAAATAATTCAATAATTAGTTTAATACTTATGACTTAATTTCTCCCGATGAAATTAAATTCTTTTTTGCAGGGAAACTGCTGGGAGACATATGGTGATAAACACGTGAAAAATAGAAGAATGTGACGTAATTGACTGTTTGCAGGGAGCTTGATTGACAGGTGATCTGACCAATCAGAACGCGGATATTATGTGCAGCCGCTGCTATCCGCCATCTTGCCCGACAGCTACGGCCGGTCTCCATAGAAATCCATGTTAAAACGGGGTAAAAAAGATCGACTGAATTGAAACTTTTTCAATATAACTAAATATAAAAATGTGCAAAGGGTTAAGCTGTGCTGTTGTTGGCTGCCACAGTAACGGCAATAAGCTAAGGAATTTCTTTAAAGTACTTGTTTTGCGTCTGTCATGTCTGGCGCTGTATGCATGGCTTGCAGTGCTTAAGTTAAAATACTGAGTGTGAAATAATAAAATCATATGTTAAAACGTGTGCTCTTATTATTCTGTGGACAAAATCCTGTGAACTTCACCCTGATCCGGAGCTGTATATTCACATGTGCGCTCATCTGTTTTCAATGCAGCTAACCTCACATCACTTCATGTCATCTTCCCACTCATTAAACTATGACAGATCCTTCACTGCAAAAAGACGGTCACTGCGACACTCTAAAGCAGGGGTCTCCAACCTTTTTGTGAGTGAGGGCTCCCTGAAGGGATAAAATAGTCTCAAGGGCTATTTGTTTGATATACTCCAATACATATACATGTCGGAGAATCACTAAGCAAAAATAAATATATATATTTTTTCCCCCTCTCTAATATCTAGATATCTTGCATTTTATGCAAAAATGCATTTTATTTTTCCCTAAATTCTGTGTTTTCCATTTGATTTCTTATGGATTCCGTGTTTTATGATTCATCATTCTGGAGTCACATATTTGGGTCCTGACCTGTTTCTGTATCAGCTCGCTCTGGCTGACGTGCTGCTGGGCCTGCTCTCTCTTAGCCTCCTGCTGTTTCTTCTTCTGCTGCTGCTGCTGTTCGCAGAGCTGCTGGATGCGCTGGAGCTGCTCCTGTACGCTGGCCGTCTGGATGGTCACCAGATTCTGGATCTGGTGCGCTTGGTCTTGCCCTCCGCCCTGCTGCTGGATCTGAATGGGCAGTTGCAGTTTGATCTGCTGGGGCATCCCGGCCGAGGTACCGACCTGCTGGACCTGAGCTTGAATCTGGGCCACTACCTGACTCTGGATGTGGGAGATGACCTGCTGCTGGAGCCCAGGGACGCTGAGGAGCTGCGGGGGGAGCTGGATCTGGGGCTGGACTTTGGTAACGGTGGTCTGGGTGATGGGGAGGGTGGTGACCTGTTGTAGGGGTGCGGTGGCCGTCACCCGTGCTATTTGTGGGGTGGGGGCGGGGACGGGTGTAGGGGGCGGGACTGAAGTTTGAGGAAGATCGACTGAATTGAAACTTTTTCAATATAACTAAATATAAAAATGTGCAAAGGGTTAAGCTGTGCTGTTGTTGGCTGCCACAGTAACGGCAATAAGCTAAGGAATTTCTTTAAAGTACTTGTTTTGCGTCTGTCATGTCTGGCGCTGTATGCATGGCTTGCAGTGCTTAAGTTAAAATACTGAGTGTGAAATAATAAAATCATATGTTAAAACGTGTGCTCTTATTATTCTGTGGACAAAATCCTGTGAACTTCACCCTGATCCGGAGCTGTATATTCACATGTGCGCTCATCTGTTTTCAATGCAGCTAACCTCACATCACTTCATGTCATCTTCCCACTCATTAAACTATGACAGATCCTTCACTGCAAAAAGACGGTCACTGCGACACTCTAAAGCAGGGGTCTCCAACCTTTTTGTGAGTGAGGGCTCCCTGAAGGGATAAAATAGTCTCAAGGGCTATTTGTTTGATATACTCCAATACATATACATGTCGGAGAATCACTAAGCAAAAATAAATATATATATTTTTTCCCCCTCTCTAATATCTAGATATCTTGCATTTTATGCAAAAATGCATTTTATTTTTCCCTAAATTCTGTTTTCTATTTGATTTCTTATGGATTCCTTGTTTTATGATTCGGTACAAATTTATCATAAAAATTGGTGTCTAGTGAAACGAATTAATAAAACTTTAACATTTTAATCAATCTTTTAAAATGTAATCAAATGAAAATCAATTTACAATAAAACATTGCATTTAAATTTTTTTTATTTTATCAGACATGATGCTGCACAACAGAACTGTATAAATTAATATTAATAAAAAATAACTTGGTTGTATGATTTTCCTTAAAAATAATAATATTATTATTACTTTGAGAATTCCATTGTAGAATACAGTAGTAATATATTCAGTCATATAAGTTTATTTTGACGGTTTTACGTGAAGGCAGGGCTCTACGCTTACTTTTCTTTTTAGGAGCGCTTGTGCTCCTAATTTAAAAAATTTAGGAGCACGGTCAAAAATTTAGGAGCACCTTCTAATCAGTAATAAAACAATTCTGATAAAAAATTAACCTTCCCATTACGAGGTGATATTTGACTCCTTAAAGTGATTTA